CTGGATCCTGAAGAAACACTCTCTCATCTGGTATGTACAGCAAAATGACAATAAACTTGATTTAATTTAAATTCTTAGCTACGCAATAAACTGTTAATTTGATGTGTTTGTACTGCGCTGTTGTGGCACAAATTGCAGCTAGCGAGCAACGCAGTTAATAGCTCGAGGTGCTCCCTACATAGTGCACTACACAGTGATCACTATATAGGGAGTAGGGAGTAGGGAATGAGTGGGTGATTTCGGACACAGCCTTTGTGTGTGTCGGCAGTGGAAGCCACGCATAGCAGCCCATGACAAGTGGTACGTAAACTGTGTGTAACGCATTGGTCTTTGATCTTGTTTATTTTGAGATCATTTTGGAGCGCAAAAACATGGCAAATCGTACAGAAAAGGGAAAATACACAACCGAGGAAGTGGTGGAGGCTGCACAAGTCGAGATAGCAGCTGTCCTGGTGCTTTTTCAAACAGAGATCGTTATAACGAGCGGCTCATAGAAAACAAGTGAGTGTCATAGTGCTCAGAATATGTGTACAGTTTGAGTTATACGGTAAATATACAGTCTGCAGTGTTTGTTGTTAGTGTGAATTTTAAATATATATTTATACTTGCGCATAACACTTGTTTTGACACTTGTCTTGTTATACCTTTTTATGAAAAATATAGATTTTATTTTGTTTTTAGGATGAAATATGAATTTCTATAACTAATAGAGTAACTCTGTGTCCAGATATGGATTCCTCTGGGTTTAAGCTTTCAATAGAGCCCTCACTGATGTCTGTAGGTTCAAGCATTCAAAAGATGTTGCGCTTTTTCTTTATATTTTCAGCGGTGTCCACTTTGGTTAGTTGTGGATAAAACAAAAGTCCCTCAATGAAACGCATGGACATACCAGTATAAAAATTGGTGTCAAATTATCAGTTTTACAGATATTGTTTTCAAATTTGAAACATGAGTGCAATACAAGTTTTTCTATAGTCACACAGTGTGTTTTAGTTCCCACCTCCTAAAGCTGCTTTATGCTCCTTTATTTTGAGAAAGAACTTAGGTGAGGATCAAAAAACTATTTTTTTCTGAGATGATTGAAATGGAACAACTTTTTACTGGTAGCACCTAGAATGATTCTGATTGCTGTGGCTGAAACTAGAGAGTGTTATCTTTACAAAAAAAGTCAAACTTTATATACACTCCATAAGGGTCAATAACAGCATTCATTGTAATTTGGAGATGTCATTTTACAGGCAGTTGCATTGAAATGACCCAGAATGATACGGGGTTTTAAGAAGAGATTTAAAAGATGATACCAAATTTGCCTGCCTCCTGAGGAGGAGAGTTTCACAGCTACGGGGCCTGGAAATCAGCGATAAGGCTCATAGGGAGTGATGCATTACAGATATAGGCAGGGGCATACTCATTCAAGGCCTTTAAAACAAGCCATAAAATCTTAAAATCAATACTAGGTAGGCAGCAATAGGCCACAAGGATTGGTGTAATGCAGTCGTTTCTCTTAGTACGTGTTAAAATCTTGGTAAAAGCTTTTGCATGAGGTTTCGGCTGTTTTGCCCAGTTGTGCTTGAGCAAAGTCACTGCAATATCATCATCATGTCATATCTGGAAAAGATAAAAGCCTCAAGCCTTTTTAGATCATACATGCTTTGTATTGGGTCTACTTATATGCAGCTCTTCTATTAGGATTGATTGTTCTCAAGTCCTTTCTCAGATTGAGTCTCTCTATCTGTGGGTTTGGAGTCAGGTCCAAAACTGTGGTCCAGTCTGAATACCAACAATATCCACAGAAAATGATTTTGCAAGCACCTTGTCTTAGAAGTGAAAGTGTTGGTCAGTAGTAAACTCTGACCTAGTGACGGCATTAGAGCAAAGATCAAAGGACAATTATTAAATCATTTATATTTTCCTCAGGAAATGACAGACTAAAGGTTGGACACATGTACAGAACATTGGCAAATCATGTTGCGGACAGTAAACAGACTAATGTCTGCTGTGCCTGCTTATAACAGATGTGTTGACACTAACATGCTGCATATGAAACACTTACTGCCGAGAGCAAACAAGGAAATTTAAATGCACAGCCTGTCGAGTACGAAAGGTATAATTTTGAGATTCAGCTGTAGAAATAGAAGGTCACTTGTTGAATATCAAGTATATTTGTCATGAATTAACTACATGTTGCAATATTTTTATAATAACGCACAATGGAAAAACTGCAGTGGACAAGGTGATTTGAAAAAAACCCCCAAAAAACCCTTTACCTCTGTCAATTCTGACCTCTGCACAAAATGCTTATTCTTCTGCTATGTCGGTATTTTTACATTTCAAATGCAGCTTAGTTCAGTTGATGTCAAAATATGCTGCTGTAAAGGGGGAAATGATACGACATTACTTTCAAATGGTTTTATTTGACGACAGAAGACGTCTGTTGGAACTCTGCTTTTGAGAAGAATAAATGTTTTAAAATAAATATAACTGATGATTTATTACATTTGTTAAAATATTTGAATGAACTGAATGCATACACTACATTTTTCAAGTCGCTCTATCTATTCAACTCAACAGGATGAGCTGAAGTGTGTTTCAAGTGCACCATCTACAGGTAAGAAATAGACAAATGAAATCTCAGCAGGAACTGGTGGCAATTTCCCCCATGTTTGTCACCATCCTCCTTCTCTGCCTCTTTACTGTCGTTATTATCAAGTCTTTTTTCAGACATGATGACAGACAAACCAGACACTGAAAATAATGTCAGTGGTGGCAGAAGTTCACATATCTTAGTGCTAAAAATGTAATTAATTATTATGCAGAGTGGCATCATTGGATAATAAATACTCGTGCATTAATGTGTAAGCATCTGTAATGTTGGAGCTGGTAAAGCTGAGACACATTTTAACCCCTTAACATCTGTCCATTATCTATACACCACTTAATCCTCACGAGGGTCGTGGGGGGGCTGGAGTCTATCCCAGCCGACTCAGGGTGAAGGCAGGGGACACCCTGGACAGGTCGCCAGTCTATCGCAGGGCTAAACTTAGAGACAGACAACCAACCACACTCACATTCACACCTACGGACAATTTAGAATCACCAATTAACCTCAACATGTTTTTGGACTGTGGGAGGAAGCTGGAGAACTTAGAGAGAACCCACGCTGCACGGGGAGAACATGCAAACTCCACGCAGAAAGATCCCGGGTGTCCTAACCGGGACACGAACTGGGGATCTTCTTGCTCAAGGCGACGGTGCTACCCACCGAGCCACCTTGCAGGCCCTCTTTAACATACAGTTTCCTCTTTTTATTTTCCTTTAAGTAACTTGCTCCAGCTCTTTCTTAAATCTACATGTTACTTCAGCCCAACTTTCTCTGTCTTTTTTGGGCTTTTGGAGGAAGCTGGAAAAGAAATCCTAAATGAGAAACTTCTCGATCCTTATTCTGCACATGCAGGACAGTTGCTGGGGCAATGGTATCTAAACAATGCAGTAGAACATGTGCAGACAGTGGGGGATGTTGCCCTTGGGCAAGTGGGAGTGTTACACTATTTGTGGGAGTGGGTGGTGTGGTCCCTGCCCTCTCCAGTCAACATGTTAATGTGCCATTGAGCAAGGTACCGAACCCCAACTTGTTCCTATGACAGGTTTAGCTATGCTGCTCGTGTACTTTTATAGTTTTCTCTTTCTTTCATACTAAAATCTCTCAGAACAATGTTCATACAGCCAACATAATCTGGATGTAAGATTGAAGTTGACAAAACATTAGATGCATCTGAGTCATCTGAACTGAAGATTTGAAATTGTAGGTTATGAAGTCAATGTGGTAGATTGAGGTTTTAAAAAAGTTTTCTGAGTTAAAGGGAACAGGAGGGCAGGGCCATAGTACTGGAATGTGTTAAAGGTATGTCATTTATAGAACAAACCTGTTTGTCTTATTTTATGTCTTATTTGAAACCACACACACACACACACACACACACACACACACACACACACAAGTATGCATACCTAAGCATCCAAAACAATGCCATGTATCCACCCATTCACACATCAGCATGATTGAGCTTTATTTGGGATGAACTCTGCACTCTGTTTTTCTGATTTTCTGAGTCCAGGTTCTTGAAGGAGCTTTGAAGCCAGCATTCCACAGACAACAGCTTTGTCTTAGACAATATCAAATGTCAGCAGATTTATTTTTTACTTCAGCTAGAGAGGTCAAATTTATACCAGGAGGCCTAACTTACAAAACTAGGCATGCAGAATTTGACAGATTGGCAGACTTAAATTCTTCTTCTCTTCTTTTTCAAATGTGCCTCTTGCAAATCCTCTACCTTTTTTGGAAATGTCATTCTGAAAAACTGCATTCACACATTCATACATTCACAGATTCAATGGTGTTGCCCCGTGTTTGCTTTCAAGGTAAGGAAGGGGAAAAAAACACTTCAAAAAATGATTACATATAAAAACTTTCAAGAAAGAAAAAGCTGGTTTGGAGAGATTGTTTCTTTTACTGGGACACAGTTGAGGTAGAAAACACACAGGAAGCTAATACAAACCATCCAAACACAAAATTGAATACATACAAAAAAACTGATTAAGACTGATAAATATGTAAGTTAAAGGTGTACTCTTTGATTTTGGTAAAGCAGCCAAAAGTTTCTGTCAGGTCTTATTAGTGAGCTTAGAAGACATTTAGGGATTTAGAAGAGCTACCTTCTGTTTTAACAAAACATATCTTTACCTTCAGGTAAAGTTGATTATCATTCAGTATAGATTAAGTCCCTAAGTCCCTAAATTCAGTCCCTTAACATCCACTTGGATTGAAATCATAAATGTATCTAAAGCCCACTCTTGGAACAAATCTTTTTTCTTTCTTTTTTTTTTAGAAAAGGAAACAAAGAAGAGTGAAACCTCAAATCCCTGCTAATCCATAATCTCTTTGTCACTCCCTTCCCACTTTGGATTTTACTTTTGAAACTCTGGCCAATCACAGCTGGGCTCTAGGCTGTCATCACAGTGGCACTTGGATCCAGTTGGGCATCGTCTCCTGTCAGCAGAGGGCTGCCCGGCCTGTAGGAGGGGAAAGGAGTTTGAGTACATGAGTGGATTATGTGGGGTAGCAGGCTGAAGAGATCTGCAGGGGTGGAGAGTGGGGTAGGAGGGCTAATCCAATTTGGATTAGGCCAGGTGGCTTTTCTAGAGACAGGGGGTGAGCTCATGCCATACACCTGTGGCTGCACTGTACGTCTGAATTAGAGTTAAACTGTTTGAAAAAGATTTTGCCGTAGGTGGCCCGGCACTCTCTGAAAAAAGCACAAATCCCTAATGTTAATCTCTTCAGAAGTAAAGTTCAATAAGGATATAAAAGATAGATTTTCAGTTCTGTTCCAAGAAATTGGAGTACAAGGCTGAGGTAAAGGCAGACTCCTGACTATTTACGCAGGGCCAGATTAACCTCAGGGCCTTTAAACTAAAAATTGCTTGACTTCACTGACACTTCTTACCTGTCATGAACTTGTTGCCCCTAAATTCCCATTAAATGCACAGTAGCTTCATTATAAGGTCAGAAACCCAGAGACCAATCAGTTCTACCACTAGCACTCTGGGACAATCTGTCCAGGCCAGGCTCCACATTAACTACATTGGTTTAGTGCTGCTTTAAATAACAATACTACAATTCATGTTGTACCTTTGTTTCCAAATGGTCGAAAATATGGGGCAGAAGCCTGCTTTGAGCAATGCCTCTATCCTAACATGAAATAGCTTTTGGGTGTTTAGCTGCCTTTATCCACGACTCAGCCTTCCTTACCGCAACTTATCACTTCCCTTTCATTTGGTTACCTATTCATGTATTCTATTTTTTTTTCTGTATTTGCGTTGACTTTTTCTGTATATTCATTTTTAAAGATTTTTCTGTATCCAAGTTCTCCTTTTGTGACACACTTTCATTTACAGTATATTGTACATACATTCATATACAAATGCAAATATATATATATATTTAGATGTTTCTACCTACAATCACAAACACATTTCAAAAATTCTCATCCTTGGTGTGAGTAGCTATTGGTTATCCCTGTTAGTACGAAACAATCTTTTACTGGGGAAAAAAAAAAGGTAAAAATGTTTGTTACTCAGGAAATTGGAATTCGACAGCACAAATCTATCCTTTGTTGTCACCATCTTTAAGTAGATTCACTTTGTCATCCTGACTGAGGGAGCTGCCACATATTTTCACTTTTAGAGATTGTTAGTGCCAAGGCTGCTGTAAACTTGAGGTGAAAGGTCTTGATGGAAATTATTTGTTGACAATAGAGTATTGTGAGAAAGAGGCACGTGTTGCTTAATGCTGAACTGACAGCAATCCGGTTTGGATCCTCAATTTTGAAATATGTACAATGACAGATTGCCTTTTGCAATGAATCAAATGAAATTTAGTTTTAGGTACAATCTTGAAGAAAATGATGAGCTACAGTGTAGGTTGTTAAAAAAGTTGAGCACTAATTCTCTAAAGGAGTGAACCATCTGGTGTATGGCATACAGGTAAACAAAGCAGGTGTGCGTCAGATCTGTTTTTTTGTCTGTGCTTGGAATGCAGATGGCGAGACATGCTGATGTCATTCACAACAAGACAGACAGATGACTGAGTCAAAAGCCATCTGTGCGGTTTTAAAGCAAGCAATCACTAAAGATCAAGGTGACCTTATTGGATGCTTTAATTACACAAATAACACCCTAATTACAAGGATCTAACCCTTACTCTGTTTATTTTTGTTGATGATGACAAACTTTCCCATGTGGTTTAGATACATTTATATGTTCACAGACCTTTAGCTACACAGGCATCTGTGGAATAACCATGTTTTGAAAGGTTATTCAAAATGTATTTTAATCAGATTTCACCGATGGCAGCATCTGTGATGTTCAGAATACCTGCATCAGCTAACCAACTTTTTTTTTTTACCTGCTTGATGGCCAAATTTCAGACATCTGTGCTTAACGTTACAGCATAAGGCCCACATTTAAGCTGCAGACCTCTCTGCTCTCCATCCTGTCCACCATGCAATAAAACTGGTGGAGAGAATGTAAGCACATCATCTTAATTTGCATTTATTTTCCTCTTCCTTTAGTTTGTTGTAATGCTATTTAGATTATTTGCTATTCTCGTCAGTCACTGTTTTGGTTCATTCTTTAGTTTGATTTAATAATTTGGATTATGAATTGCTTGCACTGCAGAAACTGCAGTTTGGATCGACAATAACATTTTTGATCCTATAATTATTGTCAATTTCTCTTTTGTCTGAAACCTCAGGGGGTCAGACATTTTCTCAGAGTCCAGGAAATGCCTGATACTACTAGTACCTAATAACTGTCTCAGCTCTCAAATAAGGACTTGGTAAGTCAATTTAAAAAAAAAAAAAAGAACTCTATTGAACACTTTTCCAAAATTAACTAGTATTGTTAAGTACACCATAATAATAGCGTAATGATGAGTGGTGCTTCTAGTCTTTGATAGCAATAAAGTGGCTACATAGGCCAGGAAGGTTTAAATGGACCCTCAGGAGTTTTGATAATACTTACCTATAATTTGAGACAAGAGGCTCACACTCGTTGGCCTGAGTAGAGGCCAAACTGCCATCCCTGGATAACTCTGACTGGGAAGTCACGCTAGGTCTCTGTTCTGATTGGGTGCGACGGGCAGAGTTGCCTATCCCTCTTGTTGTTAACCTTCCTCGGGAGACCTCTCCCCATCGTCTGGGAAGCACAGAAGAGAGGCAGGCCTGAGAGTTTTGTGAATCTTTTTGACAAAAGACTGAGCGGGCATCTTGAAAGGACACAGATGGAATGATCTCCTCAGGGTTGTTATCCGTGGCACGTGTCACTTTTTTAGGAGAACTGGGGTGAGATGACAAGGACTGTGGTCGGAAAACTGGGGGACTTGGATATCTGTGGCGCACAGAGGGACCAGATGGGGGCAGGCGGACTCTGGAGACAGGTGGTGCTGTCACAGGTGGGCTGCAAGAGGGCATGTCACCCTCATAATATTCAGTGCTTTCACATCTTTGGCTCATTCTGTCTTGACGGGGTAAAGTCCCTCTGCCACTGGGTTCCACAATATTTCTCTTGTCAGTAGATTCTACTGCATCGCGCAGGTGAATGATTTTACGTGCCTGCTGGTAGAGACAGTTAGCTTTCTCAGTTTCTGGATCGACATCTGTTTCTGGTTGTTGTTCCGAATCTTCTGCATCATCCTGCCTTACAGGATGGGCAGGTAAGCTGTTGATTGATCTTGGCCTCACACTTGCTCTGTTTGGCAACACTTCAACATTCTGTATGGATGCTTTTAGACGCTGGGAAATTCCAGTCTTTTGGTTTATCATTGGGAGACTCCGACCTGAATCTTCCCGCAACCCTTCCTCATTTCCAGGCAGGCCTTCGGTACTCTGGAAGGAATTGTCCATCAGAACCTCTGGGGGTGGTGGTGGTAAGTTGTCCATGTCCAGGTCATCCCTGTTGTCAGGCCAGCTGTTGTTGTTATTGTTGCCATTGATGACTAATCCCCGATCATTGCAATTGACTGCGTCAGATAACAGAGGGATCCCACTTTTGTTAGGCCTCCTGATATGAGGTGGAACATTAGCAAGAGTCTGCCCTGGTCTCCCATCAACCCCTTGACTAAAGGTATTTATTAGCCTTCTGACAGACTGGCGCTTTGGTGGTTGCGGTGCTAACATTGGTAAGGAGCAAGGTGGTTTGTTTATTCTCAAAGAGCCTTTCTGTGCACCTACTGATCCATTTAATGAATGCCGCCTTAATCCAGCTCTATACAAATTATAAAGAGGCCCTGCCAACTCTTTGTTTTTGGACATCTTTTTAATTCTCTGATCCAAGTCCTTCTGGCTCTTTTGTAGCTCTGTCATTACGTTTGCACACCTGGTGGATGAAACGTGTTCAGGGTTGGCTGCAGTGAGGGGTCGTTTAACTGTAGGCTGCTGTTCCTGGATATAATTTGCATGCATGTAGCGAAGAGCCTGACTGGGATCAGGTGGGGAGGAACTCGACCTTTTCCTTTGAGGCCTGTCATTTTCATCATCTTCGTACTCTTCATCATCATCCTCATCCTCATCATCCTCCTCCTCATCTTCATTGTGCCCTACCAGGTTTGGTAAATTACTGGCGAGATTATCAAATGCCCCCCGAATGTTTACTCCAGATCCACAACTTCCAGATCCAGCACTCCCACGGTGGCGGCGGTGCCTCTCCGACCCTGTCAGACTCTCGTTTTCTCCCCCAATTCCACTGTCCTCGCTGTGCAGTGCCAAGTCCTCCGGGTTAGACTTCCTCATTGCTGCCCCCTCTACCCGAGCAAGCACTTGAGCCACCCTCTGCTCTGCTGCCTGCTTGGCCTGCAGCTTCTCAACCAGCACTTTAGAAATGGAGGAATAGTACTCCACTGCCTCCTCAAGTGTGGTGTCACCCAATGCCTGGACTGAGCCTGCCACCTGCCTCATTTTTTCTGTTGAATGCTGGAGCAGTTGCTGTAAAAGATCAGGAGGTGGATCGGGGGGCTTGCCTCTGTCGGTGCTAGGTTTAGCTGACATAACAGTTGGGCCCATCATCCCAGAAGGTAAGGCCATGTAGTCCCCATGCTCCTTCAACATCAGCTCTCCCTCTTCAGCCATCTCCTCCAGTGCCTGGTTGATCTCCTCAAAGCGCAACACCATAGCAGACATCATGGGCTGGAGGGACAACTGTGTCTGGGCAGCTTGGTCTAGCAGGCCCAACAAAGTTTCATATTTGGAGATATTTGGATTCAGAAAGGTATAGGCGGCCTGATGAGCCCTCACCATGTGTGGTGGGAAGTCCACCTTTGTCTGAACAATAGAGGACTTCCTCTTCTTGTCAGTAGACCTTCTGTTGCCTTTATTTTTCTTTCGTTTCTCCGTCTTTTTAATCTTATCTGTTTGTACAACATCACAGACTATTTCTTGTGGCATTACATTCACCTCTTTTTCCTTGATGTCCTCTGCCATTTGGGCAGACATTGGGTTGGAGGCCAACCATGTTGTCTCTTTTGTCAGGTGTTCTTCAGTGGGTAGTGGAGGTTCATTTTCTTGGTGTTCAGTTTTCAAACATTTATTCTCCACCTCTTCAGGTCTATCTCCAGCAGCATCCTGTGGTGCTTCTGCCAGCAGAGCCTTCTGAGGTCCAGGGATTTCAGGCTTTGAAAATAACTTTCCTTTAGATGGAGAGCAGCCCATTATTGCGTTCAAAGTGATTCAAGAAAGAAAATTAAATTCTGTTTCTTTGAAGAAAAAAGAATCAGGAGAAATTAAAAAAGCAAAACTGTAAATCCATGGGTACAAATCTTTACAGTCTTTCACACGAGGTCTTCTAGACTCATCCAGCAGTGGCTTTTTGTCGGTAGTCCAGCCTCCATGTGCTATTTGCAATATAGTTCTCCAGTCTTTGAATCCTTTCTTCTCAAAATGTTATGGTCAAAAGTGCAGCAAAGATACCTGCAACCTGTCCAGTGAATTGACAACCAAGGTTTGCGAAAGCGAGGAGTTGCGTGGATAAGATGGATTGGGAGGGTTTCTTCCCTCTCTCCTTCAGCTCACACAGATGGTCACGTTAAGTGCATCAACATACACACACAAGCTGGCACACAGCATTTACATGTAAGACTTTAAGCTCATCAGGTTAATCAGAGCCGAGTTTGTCAGGTGGTGTTTTTAGCCTCATGCACTGTGTTGCTGGTGACGTTTACATGCAACTGCTAGGCCTGTTCGAGTGATAAACAACCCTGTTTTTTGAAGTTGTAAGAAATAGTTGACAATGATTTTACAATAAAAAAATTAAGTAGTAATTTTTTTGTGTTAAGACGACCCTTATAAAAAAAATAATCCTACCAGCATTTGCCTGCATATGCACACAGAAGCCTTTTCTGTAAATGCTGTGTATATGTGAGACCAGGGTGTGACCTGCATGAGATCTGTGTCAAGAAAATACGAGGAAATATAAAGTGAAACTAAAGATAGAGAACTTTGCTCTGCATAGTGTAAATTCCTGGCATGCTAAACACTTATCAGGTTTCACTGATCTATCGTCACATCGTAGTGACAATTTGACAGCCCTCACTGACCGTAATTTCTTAACAGGAAATTCCCATCATAATCATTGCACGTGACTAACACAAAATTATTCAAAACATGGCCAAAGTCAACATCAGCATAAACAAAAACATTTTTCTCATAATTCAGTCAGTAAGTGATGAAAGCAGGAAAGGCTTAACAAATGTAGACAACATGTATTTGTGGTTAATATTCACCTATCTTTAATAAACATGTTGTACCACATTGGCTTAATTAATGGCTAATGTTTAAAAAAAATTTACTAATGCGTTATAGACATGTTATAAGTCATTAATAAAAAGAATTTACCAATGGTCGTGTGTCTGTTGTTCAATGATAAAGTTAAGTTCTTTTTGATCGTTAACAGCTGAATTTAACTATTTAATGTGACAAATACATGTTTGTAGATCAATCAAAATACGCAGTTAGAAATGTTAATATGCTCTTTAAAATTGCACATTTCAGAGTCTGAAGGTTCCACAAGGTCAGATCTCAAACTCTCTAATAAAGGAGTGTTTCCAGTGGAGGAAATCAAAACACAGCATTGACTTTGTGAATGATGTAACTTTTATCAAGCTTCAGCTTCAAATGTTGTGGAAATATGAGCTCTTTCCAAAGCCAAAGAGATCTGATTGTGAGTCTTGACAAAAATGAGAAAGGATACTGAAAAGATCAAGACCAACTAAAAATCTGTTGAAACACAGCAGTGTATGAGGTATAGAACGAGCCACCATAGTACTAATATTTGGCTGTCCTCCTAAAATGACAGGACAGACAGTGTGCTACGAGCACAATAGAGCTCCGAGAAACAGAGCACTGAGAAAAGACAAGAGCTTTAAACTTGGCACAGGGGTGACAAACGGAAATTAGAGTTCTTGTGACAGCTTTAACAGTGCAAAGAACATTATATAATATTAACCTTTATGGACAGCTTTCAAGAGGAAAACTTCTGCTCTTCAGCATGAAACTGTAAGAACTTCTCTAAAGTAACATGAATAGAAGCCTGATGGATTTTGGGAGGACATTCTTGGGGCCCAGTGTGTTTGTTGCAAACCCGGCCAGGGCTACCATAGTGGATGCATAGTGCCAACAGTGACACAGAGGTGTGAGGATACGGGGCTGCACCCATAAAAAAAAAAAGGTGTTGGGAAGATGACATTTCTAGATTAAACAGTGACGGCCTGTGGATACACCAAAATACGGGCTGACAAGATAACTGTAGAAGGTAAGCTGAAGAGGAAAATTCCAGTATAATAATGATCGAAAGCTTACTACCAAAATTCTAGAAGAGTTTTCAAAGATGAACAAAGCGAAACTATGATCTGGTCAAGTATGTTGCCAGACTTAAATCCAACAGAATGCTTTTGGGGCATTTCAAATTAAAGACAAAGCAACACAACCTAACGGTTTTGTAAAAGTAAAGGTAAATTTAGCTTGATATGTAGAACAATAGCTATAATAATAATAATAATAATAATAATAATAATAATAATAATAATAATAAATCCCTTCCCTTTAACATGCAACTTGTCTATGAAAAATACTGGAATCAGGGTAAAAAAATAAATAAAAATCAGCAACACATCATACTATAAAATATTCTAACATGTACACTCTCCTGATTGCTAAAATCCCCAAACTTCAAAAAGAAATACTAAGGATCTTATTGGTAGCAGCCTGTCGTAAACTACTAAACATAGTGCGGTATAAGTCTGTGATACTTATTTTTGGCACTGACTTTCAGTTCCACACTGAGAAACTGACCCAAAAGTTAAGATTTGGACCTGTTAAAAACGAGCAGGGTCACTGACTGTCTCTTGGATTACCAGTTTATATTTTTTTTAAAAACAAAATGAAACTGCACACTCAGATAGGGGAAAATGGCAACACCACAGAATCCCAGAACTCCTGAGCCAAGATATCTGTCTTAAGGCATGTGTGTAATCCCTGCCACCCACGCCAAGGTGTGCCACAATAATAGGAACTGGGCAAGCTGTTGGTCAACTCAGCAGAAGGAGCTTAAGCTGTTGGAGATCTACCATCTGCGTAATGTGTTGGCTCTGACTTTGATTTAGTCCAATTTGAAAGTACCTTACTTTTTGAAGCACTTCTCTCCAGTATTTTAATATGTGCTGCTTTATACTTCAACCAGAGGCGTAAAAGCATATCACTTTGAACTGGATGCATTTTTTTAAAGTTCATTTCATTTTTTTAATAGCACCAATTCATCCACAGTCTTCGCATAATGTGGTTAAGACCTCACAATACAAATCTTGGTTTGTAGGAGCGTGATAGCTGGAGACTCTGGCTCTCATTCTACTTTTGGAAACTCCAGGAACTGGGAGTGCTCGTTTGGGATAATATTGAAATATGAGGGCTTTGTATGTGAGGAGAGGATTTTAGCTTTTATTGTTCATTTTTTTAGGGAGTCATTGAAGATAAGCTGATACTGGAGAAATATGATATCTCTTGCTGATTCTAATCAGAAGTCTTGCTGCAGCAGTTTGGCTCATTTGGAGGGTTTTCAATAAAGACTTACTATAGTTCAAACTAAAAGTTACAAATGCATGGAACAGTTTTTCAGCATCACTCAGATGTTGCTAATATTGACAATATTGCACAGGTGAAATAAGACCATCCTGAAGACTTGTTAAATGTGTCAGTTAAATGGTGTAATCTGGTCAAAAACAACACTAAGGTTCTTCACCTTCACAGCAGTGCTGGAGGCCACATCCTACACAACCACAGTAACTAACTGTTAGCGTAGGGTGTTTCTGAGGGGTGTCGGCTCAAATATAATAACTTCACTTTTGTATCAGTTTAGAAGACAAAAGACAGCTGTAAGGTTACACTGAAAATAAAAATGAAGTTGTCTTTGGTCATGGATTACAGGACATTATTCAACCAGAAACTGTAGCCCACTTATTACCTGCAGCCCAGAGTCACAATGCATGACAATGGTGGTCATAATGCTGAGAAAGGTGATGTTCTTCATCATTAGTACAATTTATTTTTTTAATACTAAAACTGTAATAACAGTATTTCTGAATTAATTTGACTTATTGGAGTATTATTTTGTATGCTTTACTTCTGAAGAAGCAGTTTCACATTATGGTTGACTACTTTAGTGATTTAGATTATTTATCACTATTTATTTATTTTTTGGCATTTACCATTATCGTTACCCTGGCCATTATCATCGTCATCTTCATCATGATTATTATTATTATTATTATTATTATTATTATTATTATTATTATTATTATTATTGTTGTTGTTGTTGTTGTTGTATTTCTTCTTTTTTGTAAGTGGTTTCACTTAGTAATAAAATGCGACAGGTTTAAGTAACACAACACGGGAAACACATTTAGGCTGTTTATCTGATGTGGCTGCAAGTTTAGCAGTGGAAATAACCACTGGGGAAGCATAACAATGGGGTTTTCCCCCTGTCCATGCCATTCAAATGACACTGTCGTGGGAATACAGTGTATTTAGCATTGTTATATTCACTATTTTGTCAGAAATAGTCTGTGGAGTGGGAGCTGTAGGAGCACTTTTGTGACACCTGGCTTGAAACTTGACTTTTAATTTGTGTCTGATCAGCTCATTTCTGACCAATGTACAAGCTGCTTATATGTGACGAAGGCAACGATATATATTCCTGTTACACTAAGACATTGTAATGAATGATGGTTGGATATTTTACTCATTTTGCTTTTAGTCTTGTGGGCTTCATGCATATTTGTCAGATTAATCAATGCTGTGGTGCAATGTAACTCCTTTAAAAACATATGAAATCTGTTCTGTTGTTATTGTACCACCTGATTTGTGGAAGCTTTTGTGATTTTTATTTTTTTTGTAAATACAGTCTTTGAAATTGTTCTCCTGTATTTCTTTCCACAGTTTCACAACTGGCTGCTGTAATAACTGCAAAAGCTGTTGTCTTTGTTGGAAGCGTATTGAGCATGTTTGGCTGTAGACTCACGGACATTGTTCAGATTTTTAACTGTGTGTGTCAGTTAAACCAAACAAACAACACAGGTGTTGTAGCTGATGTGCTATAAATCTTAGATTCCCAGACAAATGCATCATGACAGTATAAAAAAATCAACCTGTCTGAGGTCAGA